AAAAAAAAATTACTGTTATCATTACAGTATGTAAGTAACTATTTTGGAAAAATCATTCAGACGCGTCAAGGTCGGTACACACACTGTAATGTTTCTCAAAATTGTGTCTCAAAGTGCACCAGATTGCATCTCAGTACATATTCATTTAAAAAAAACTCGGGGGGTATGCTCCCAGAACCCCTCCCCCCCTCCTAGAAAGCTCGTCACCTTCAGCCTCTTGGGAATTCTCCCCCAAAATGATAAATCCAAGATGGAACTCTGTTAAAGTGTTACCAGCCCCCTAAAAAGTTTCTTCCAAAGCGAAATTTCCTTATTATTCTGATTACTTGTGCAAAAGTGTTTCAAGTTTTGTCTGCACTTGCAGCCTGTACTGAGCACTGTGAAGAATGGGCCCTATAGTTGCAACGTCATTGAAGGAGACCAACTTCAGGCGAGCAACACAAACTCTTAGAGTTGAAGCTAGGGTCAGGACTGCAATCATGCCCAATGCCTGTGTTGTTTTCAGTTGTTGCAACACAGCTGATCCTCAAAAGAGTTATTGGGCTCCATTAAATTCCATTATGGGGTGATAAGTATCCTGGGTAACTGGTCATCTCTCCACCAACGAAATCGGCATAGAGAAGTTGACTTGCCACCAACCAACGCGCCACCAAGTGTGATTAGGAGTTGGTTGGCAGTGAGTCGACTTCTTGGTGGCGATTTCGTTGGTGGCGAGATGACCGTAAACCGCCTCCTGTAGGTATTAAGAGAAGAAAGAATTGACTATCATAAAACACTTTCCCCTTTCTCGCTTTCAGGCAATATGCTTAGGAGTAAACAGCAAATAGTCTAATATGACATCACAACAGCACTGCACCTAGCTTTCGCAAATGTTCGGTAATGGGGCTTATGAGACCTACTGGTAACTTTGGTGTAATAAGGATACAAAATGTGAAAATATTGCATAATACCTAGAGGACACAATGAAGTACTGATTGTATAGAATACAATAGTTTTTTCTTTATCTGACTTTGTAGAAATTGGTAATTTAAATCATAAATATTATAAATATTGTAAATTACACTGTGCTGCATTACGATCCCTTTAATGAGGGTTTATCTCCTCAGAAAGGTTAATAAATAATCATTGGACAGTTGATTGTGTATTACTTCTCTCTCTGAGACCTTCCTCAGTGTCATTCAGAATTGTGCAATCAAAAATATTTTGGAAAGATTCGATAAATGCAGGAATTGTATCTTGTGGTTGAATGTTTTGGTTTGTCTCCGCTGAGAGTGATGTAACGCCTTTTCCTTCTATTCCACAAGGAATAAAGTGATTAAACCAACTCAGGTCAATGTTGCAGTTCAAGGCAATACCATGAGTGGAAACCCAACGACTTGCATGGACACCTGTTCAAATAAAACAAAATCAGCAAAATTGATTAATTGCCAAAGCTAAAGAATATTATCCAGCTCAAAACTGTTTTAATGGAATAGGACACACAAGCCCATAAGGATCATATATGTAATACATTCTATATTAAGAATTGTCAGCAGTGCTGTCAAGACTGCTATAACCTGTGAAGAGCAGAAGATCTCTAAGAAATTAGTTAGAGACATCTCAGATTTGCTACTGTCTAAGATTATGCTAGCATAAAGGTTGAGCAAGCAGCTTATCTTCTGGAGTGGAGAAAACAATAATTTTTTTGGTAATTTTGAGGTGTCACAATACTTTCAGTACTGATGGGTTGATTCATTATCACTTTGTTTTTTAGTTGAAGAAAATCATTTCTGGTTTGCCATCTGAATTCAAAGGAATCGTCAATACAGTATTTAAACTTGGGTTGTTTGTTTAATAAATATAAAATAAAAAATTTGACCAAGAAGTGGAAAGCTCTCAGTTGTTAAAAAATTCTCAAATTCCAGCCCTACAACCACACTATCCTATGGGATTAAAAACACTGATGAGGGCAAAACAGTAAGCGCTATGAAAAATATGTCACTGAACCGTTTTATTGTTTTTTTACCAGCTTTTCTGGACACAGGCCTGCCCACAGGGAATATGCACGAACGGGACTCATAGGTCCCATGCAAGGTGCCAGCCCTACCCAATCCAACAACCCATAAAGGTTGGCCACACAACCAGGGTCTACAACCCCTACTCTTTTCAAACAGTGGTGTGGGTTCTTTTACGTCCCACAAGGACAGATCAGTGAAAGTGTTGTGAGGCGGGACCTTATCTGAAAAGACTAGAAAGTCTAACCATTTGCAGATGTCATTACAAAGGCAGCACTTTCTTCTCAGTTATTTAAAGACTCTGAGCGTTGGTCCGGCTGGGGTTTGAAGCCGCGACGTCCCGCTCAAAAGACCGGCGCTCTCCCAACTGAGCTAACCAGGCGGCGGTATATTCACCACACGGCAGTACATTCACTAACCTATTGCTGCTATTTTGTTGTCCTTTACCCATACTCCTGTGTCACAAGTGGTGGTAGCTGCCACGTTAAATCTCTTGCACGTTTCAATCAGCGTCTTTTCTAAGGAACACACATACCATCTTAAGCTCTTTTTGAAACGGGTCAAATCCAAAACAGGATAGCAAACTAATTGTCCTGGTCCATGAAAAGTCATCAGTCCTCCTCTGTTGGTGAGGTGAAACTCGGCGCCTAAATTTTCGAGCCTTTCTCTTTCTTTCCAGTCCAGGTTCTTGTTTCGTATGCCAATAGTAAAAACAGGATGATGTTCAAAGAAAAGCAAGGTATTAGTAGCTTCACTAGTTCCTTTAGCTTTGATATCGTCAAGATGCTGCCTTGCGATTGAAGTTTGAACTTCTAAGGCTGGAAGATAAGACATTTTCTGCAGCGTTCGCGCAATGACCACTCGTCCCATGGCGGCCATCTTGAAACAAGCTTGGTAGCCACGCCTGTGCCGGTTCAAGGTCCCTCTCGTTATCCAACATGGCAGGCGAAGGAAGCAAGAAGTGTACTCATGTTATTTTTGACTTGGATGGCTTAATGCTTGGTAAGTCTGGCAGCGGATTCGGTGAACTTCACTCTATTTTCCTTTTAAGGCAAGTGAAGCTCAGACGACAAGGAGACGGTCGATTCCGCCATCTGAAAGAGAAAAGTTTGTGTCCTATGTAACTTGCTCGTGCTGGACGCGTGACCTTATTGAGAATAGAGAAAAAAAGGGCTATTTTCGCGATTTCAGAAATTCGGTTCCAGCGAACAACGTTTACCACAAAATTAGTGACACGGAATTTAATACCCTGATGGGAAACCTTTTAACTGGTAACTTAAACGTGCGTTTTAGACAAATACCCACCCCCCCTCCCTCCCCCTGTACAAAACAATAGAATTTCTCAAGGTTTTAGGCCTGAAGACCAGATTTTCGAATGACCCTAAGGGTATGCAGCTGGGGGTTAAAACATAATTTGTCAAAACCGATCATGTTGGTAGTTTCTTTCTGTTGCTCTGTTTAATATTGTTATTTTTACAAGCCACACACTTACAAAATATTGTACTTAACAGGGACCGCGGAGCAAGGTGAAAAGTGGGAGGGCTGACAATTGAAAATAATTTTTCAATAAACGACCAACATACACGGTCAGTTCAGATTCAATGCAAGAAAAGACGCAATTACAATTTTAGTATAGAAAATACTACACTGAAGTGATCTGAAAAATTTCTAACTATGGCCGTTCAGGCGTTCACTGTTCAAGTAATGTAATTCTTCTTGCCATCGAATATTTCATTGATTCGAAAGGAGAAAGACAAACTATGAAACTTTTATCCACTCAAAACAACTACTCAGCTTCGTTTGGCTTGAAAAAGCTAGTAGTTTTCTTCATTTCGTCTGATAAAACTGATAAAAAAAACTCTGCCCGAGCTGGAAGTACAAAACACGCTGCCGAACGAAACGAAGGGGTGGCCAAGGCATGGCGTTTGATCAAGGGGCAAGTCGGCCCCACAGAAACAATTACCGCGAAAAGCACAGGAGCCCCACAAAATGCCTGGCGTTTGAAATTAAAGAAAATACAGAGAATATAGCGGAATATAGACGGAAAAAAACTTGTTTCAAGTCTCTTTTTTATTTTAATTATTTTTCTTTTTAGCGCAAAAAGTGGGGGCGGGGGCGCAAAAAAGTGGTGGGGCCGCGGCCCTACCAGCCCCTCCCCCTCCGCGGTCCCTGCTTAAAAAAATCACAATAAATAAATTAAAATGAGATCCTGTGGATCCTCCTTTTTTAGACCTTGTCCCTAACTTTAAGAATTCCATTTCACTCAGGGGCACCCGGCGACTTTTTTCAGTAAAATAACTGTTCGAAGGAGCAAATATTGCCTAGAAATTTCTAAAGCTTGAGAAGAGCTAAAATTTCTTGATAACCATTCCATACGTCTAAAATATTAGGAGGTTTTCTAATAGCTTAACTATACGATTTTCGGAGGTTCTGTTATTCACATTTTAATACCAAGATATTGTGATTATTGTTAATAAAAGGTCTCTTAAAACTTCTGGTATAAATACAAAACGGTCCCTCTAATTTTCTAATGAATGCAAGGCTACTTCATGTCCTCAAACTTTCAATCAGACCCATAAGGGTAGTTAACACTTTCGGATGAGACGAAAAAGCCACCTAAAACTTTTATGACGACCAAAGTTCCCCTAAGACATCCGAACAGATAAAAAGTTTTTAGGGCAACTCCAAATTAACCAAACGAGCTTATAAAGCATAGAGAAAACCATCTTAGACACTTCTAGTGTATTTGGAAACATTTGGTCATTGGGTGCCCCTGTTCACTGCTGAGCAGTTCATTAGCCAGTGAATACAGCCACCTTTCATCACTCCTCATCTGTTGTTAAAGATCCCCAGTGGCTGGATATAGTCTGTCAATGTTATTAATAATATTTTCTGTTTATGTAATTGGGCAAATCTAATTTGCAGCCATACCTAATGTTTATATTATTTTGCCTTTTTGTAAAATTTTAGACACTGAAATTATCTACACAAGAGTAACTCAGGAAATGTTAAATCCTTATGGCAAGGTGTTTGATTGGTCCGTTAAATCCAAGATGATGGGGCGTAGCACTCAAGAGGCAGCCCGAGTGTTGTTGGAAGAACTTCAGCTGCCCTTAAGTACAGATGAACTTATAAAAATGAGTCAAGAAAAGCTTTTTGAGCAGTTTCCATCAGCCACTCTTCTACCCGGTAAGAATTTTGAGTTAGATGGGAGGGGAGGGAGTAATTAGGGTAAGGTGAACTGAATCAGGGAAATACACTAACAATACTGTTAACTGTTGCATATAAGCTCCTTCCCCCACACTTATAAACCCCGTCAGTTACATAGGTCCAATTTGCTTTCACTGAGAAAAAATTGTTACTCTTCTACCCACATATAAGCCATTCCCCTTGCTCCACACAACTTGAACTCCCTTGAAAAGTGCATTCAAGGGAAGCTAGGGAATATTATCAGCTGTAAGTAAATTTTCCATTTATGAATTAACTCTTTAAGCTCCAATATCCACATACAAATTCTCTATTTTGATCTTCTTATATTTCTTTGAAGAACTAGTTAAGATAATTTGTTTTGGGAGAGCAAGGCTGGAGCAGTGGTGAGAGCGCTCGCCTCCCACCAATGTGGTACGGGTTAGAATCCTGGTGTCAACAACATAAATGTGGGTCGAGTTTGTTGTTGGTTCTCTTCCTTGCTCCAAAAAGGTTTTTCTCTGGGTACTGCAGTCGGTTTTTCTCCGGGTACTGCGATCTGGAACGCATGGACACGTTTCAACGAGTTCTCATGAACTCCTAAGTGCTCCGTGGGTAAACAAATTGCAATTTTTTAACAAAGCATTTTCACTTAAGTGATCAATTTATTAATTCTTGTAATATTTTTTCTTGATTATGTATTGATATGGTTAACTGGACCTTTGCATATGCTAACGTCCCATGCTGTAATTTAAGAGATGTAGAGCTACAGAGCTTTCGTTTTATATTTTAGGTGTAGAAAAGCTCGTCCATCACTTCCACAAGCACAACATTCCCATGGCAGTCGCTACAGGATCAGGAACACAAGCATATGACAGAAAAATATCAAACCACAAACACCTCTTCCAACTTATTTCCCATGTCGTCAAATCTGATGATCCGGAACTTCAACAGTGTAAACCAGCGCCGGACATTTTTCTATTGGCTAGCGCTCGATTTCCCGCACAACCTACGTCACCAGATCACGTGCTTGTGTTTGAAGATGCACCAAACGGTGTGACGGCAGCACGTGCTGCTGGAATGAACGTTGTCATGGTACCGGACAAGAACGTGGATAGGGCAAAATGTGCGAATGCTAGTATGGTGTTAAAGTCTCTTGAAGAGTTTGATCCTAGTGAATGGGGATTTCCACCATTTTAATAAGTGGGAACACCTAAATTCCAGTAACCTTTTTAAAAAATATCCAAAGTGAAGAGGGAAGCCATTTTAGGGCAAAATAACAATATGGGAATCTATTAAACATCAAACTACAGATTCGCTATGATCGATCTGTCTGGGCAAATGTGATATCCGTGATGTTTAGTAGAAATAAAGGTCAAGTAGAAAACAAAAAAGCAAACAAATGTTTCTCGTTCCCGCCCGCTTCATTTTGCGGAGGCCGCCTCTCTTTTATTAACCAACAAGCGTTACTTTTAACACCAACTATTCTACAATCCTACGTAACAGACCTTACTTTTCATAAAACAAAGCATTTATTAATTACCGAGTCCTACATTGACGTTTTTAATTCTCCCTACCTATCGAGATGTATCGTATGGCGCATCACTCTGTGTTTAAAAAATATCTGCCGTTTCATTTATTAATATTAGACCAACGAACTCAGTCCAACTTATCCCTGGAAAGGGTAATAATTTCTCAAGAAAGCATTCAGTCGACAATAATTAAAAATATTGTTGGGAAAAAAAGCACTCGCTCTTTCTCTTTTTAAAAGAAATCCGAACGAGAAACTCTTTTTTTTTTACTTAGCCTTACCTTGTCTACAAGGTCGTTGATAAAGGCCTCGCGTTTGCTTTCAGCGGAACTGAAGGTGTGGAAAAATTGGCAACAAAAAAATGCAACTTGTCTTGCAACACTGCTGAAAAACGAGTTGAATAGCGATGTTGTACTTTTTAAAACCACCCACATCAAACCTGTCTTGCAACAAATCAGGTTGTTAACAGGCTCGAACGTGGCTGGTAAAACGCGCAACATCGCTTCTCAATTCGTTCTGCAGCAATGTTGCGAACAAGTTGGACGTTGCTGTTGTCTTCGTCGTCTGAAACGAAGATAAGGTAAAGGATTGCACTGATCACTGATTAACTATTAACTTGAAAAGAGTTAGGCTTACTCTTGCAAGTTGTGCTATCCTCATGTCTTGGGCAAAGAGCATGATCCTTTTTTTCTTCTTTCTTTTTAACCTCTGATTCACTTGAAAACTATCCCTGCTTCTCCTGCAAGACAATGAGGGCCTCGCTTAAAATTTTACCAAATGAAAAGGATCCCAAAGACAGAGCTTCTTTTGATTAACCAGAATTCCTTTATTTGTTAAAGCATAACTTTTCGTTTATTTCTAAACGGAGATTTCTCTACTATATCACTATATTACAAAAACAACAGTTGCGGTCGCCCTCTAATGTGCTCCTTCTTTCTTGACGAAGCCCATTGCAATGACAATCGATAGTGGGGGAATACTTGTAGCATTTACTCAGTGATCCTGTGTATACTGATACTTTTCCACACCCTATATCTTATTCTTATGTGCGCAACTAAAATTCAACCAGCAGTTTGTCCATTATGAGTAGCCTGGCACCATTGAAAAGATATAACATTGATTTTGGAGCAAAGTAGAGGGAGAGATAGATCCGTGCAGAATTTTAACGTGACCAGCCTACATGTAAATCAGAAAGATCTGTTTTAGCTCTAAAAATAGGGCCGTTTTGGTGAGTAAAATAGAGTCCTATTTTTGAGTCTAATTTGGCTCTCTTGAATCAGGGCCAATACAATAAAATTACCAAGGGCTGATTTGGTCCCAAGGGCTGAAATGGGCCCCAGCTTGGGCTGGATTAGCCTTTTGACTGAGCTTTTTTGGCCATAAATTGTGCTCGAATGGCTCCAGGAGCGGCTGAATCAGACTTGATCTGCAGGGCTGAATTGACACTTTGGGACTGAAACAGATCTTTTTAATTTTCAGTGTATCATCAGAGGGTGCTTTCTTTAAACATATAAAACAGACTAATAAAAAATCGATATTAAAGCTTGTATTAAACATTAAATCTCGACGCCGCGTGCTTAAGGATATCAAACCCGTAATTGTCAACTGCACAATTTTTTGGATAGACCATGATTCCCTTTTCACTGGGACCAGTTATAGGCAAAAATCCGTCAACACAGCTGAAAAGAACGCCATGAAATTAGTAAAGACCAGTGAAAGATGCCAAGTTGGATAGTTATTTGTAAAAAAAAAAATACTAAGAATAATAACGAAGATAGAGCTCAGGAAAGTCGTCAATTTTTAGAGACATGTGGATGGTGGGATGCAGGTTAAAATCTCGCGACTTTCTTTGGAGCAATATCTTCGTTCGATTTTAACGTATCATTTTTTAACTTGGAAAGTTTCAGACCTAATTATAAGGCGCTCTTTCCAGCCTGAGTGTCAATGAACATTTGCTCCGTTCCCTTAGCTGTAATCATCAATTTCACTATTTAGTGTAAATTTCCGATTCTGTAGAACTGTGGTTTAAATTCTGTTTTTTCAATCTATAAACTGATCATAAAATATTTCAAGTCCCATTCGATTGACCCTTATAAGGTTGAGAAAAAATTAAATTTTCTCTGAGACTGCTGTTTTTACTTAATTAAGCATAGATCTCACTAAAGTCTCTGAATCAGTGAAAATGTCATTATGTTGGAGCTTGAAGTGGCTGAGTGTAAAACTCTCGATGTAGAAGGGCAAGGAGAAACAATTTTTAATATTCCAGGACGTTCAATTATTTTCCCCGGCGGACACCCATCAACTCAGTAACACAGAACTCTGAGAACATCCATTGTTTTTATTTTAATAAAGTGAAGGCTGATACGTAATCACAGTGCTATCACGGAAGTAAAGGTACAAACACTTGTGAAGACCACTGACTACTGAATCCCTTCACTCGATCCGGCAGTAAAACATGCCTCTTGCTAAGGATCCTAATTTCAAATCTCCGCATTAATGATCATCGCTTATCCATTCGCCACGTTGTGCTGGAATAATTATCTTTAACCCACAGAATGCAAATGATCGCCAAGTCACGCTAATGTAAAATCCCTGCACGGAAATGTCAACAACATTCTTGGTTTCCGGGTAGATGGCGTGAAACCCTATACTATTTAACTGTTTTAACACGCACATGATCGCAGGTGTTCAAGAGACCACTCTGCCATTTCACGCTCAGAATCTTCATTGTCTGAACAATCCAAACGAATTCTTGACCATTACCGTTTTTTGGCGTCTTTTGTCCCAGAACATTAAGGCTAATGCGTACATTGACAAGCGTTCCTTGTTGATCATTTACGCAGAGCTTGTCGGTGTGTTTTGATGGACAAATCACGCCTTGTTCTCTATTGTTTTTCGGTGAAACGTTTTAGTCTCTGATGCTAACCAAGTCTCAAGATTTGACAGATCGTATTTGAGTAAAACAATGGTGTCAGGTTATTATCCAATTTTCAGTCAAAAAATGTTTGTTTTATAATTATCTGGGCTCTTACGCACTACACTTCTGAGTTTTAAATTGTTTTGAAATAAAATCGCCTCAAAAAGTGGCTGAAAACTTCTTCCAAATTGTTAAGAACACTGTACGGCAAAATGGTTTTTTTTATTAATGTTTGAATAAGAAATTTTCCTTTCAGTGTTAAAAGGCAAAAGAAACAGAAAGAATCAAAGCCTTCTGGCGTCCACCGTAAATAACCTCGACGTTTTGCGGCTATCAGGAGCATGTGTTGATATTGATTTAATGTGGTAAAAATCTGCACTAAAATGGGACGCTTTAATGACATGAGCTTTCCGTAAACATTGTGTTTCTAGTAAACTGTGCGTAGATTGGACGATAAACGCCCTCTCGAGATTATTATAGCGATCCTTTTTGTCGGTGAAATAACAGGTACTTGGGAAAAACGCGATCAGCAACACCAAGAATGAAAAAACCTTAATGGCTGCTGAAAATAAAAACACTGTGTTTGAATTTCTGTTTTCCTTTTATATTAAGCACCATTCTCCCTTTAACAGTAGCTCAATGGGTGCTAAATGGAGTTTTTCTGTCTGTTATATCGCTTGTTCGATAAGATGTTTATTGAGCCGAACCAGCGTCTGAGTTGCACACCTAAGTTTAGCATTGGATGTAAATCTTTTGTCCATGGAAAAAATGAAAGTGGGCCTAAAATGGTATTTTCCCACTGCAACAGATACTACGGGTAGTTGGAAGCTCATGTTAAGGGAGATGGTAAGACAAAATGAGGGCACAATAAAAAAGATTATTGACGGGGAACTCCACTTTTACAACTAATCGTGGGAAATCAATTTCCTTCTTGATGACCGTATTATTCATTTTTGTAATCATTTACATCGCTGAAACATATTCTTTTGGCCTGGCACATGTTCACTAGCGATGAACGTGACCAGCAGCAAATGTCCCCAAAACCCCCTTGAAACCAAAGCGAGTAAACTGTGGAAAACGTGTGAAGATATCCTATGTTGACACCTGATATATAAGAAATTACTGGAAACTCATCCCAACGCAGGTGGACTCGGTAAGAAGTAAAACTTTGATTTTTGTCTTTGTTTAGGCTCGTGTCCTCGCTAATCAAATATCAACGAGCTAGTCCAACTTTAAGGTCCACTGTACAGAGTGCTGAGTGAAACAGAGACTGTTGATGTAATAGAAAACTTGTTACTAAAATGGCTAGAACTGTGAATTATTGAACGGCTGAGTCCTTAACTGTTCTTCGGATAATTGCGTGAAAATGAGAAGATGAGATTTTGTCATCTACCCCTTTTGAGTATTATAGTACTGTGTGAAATAGAAGGAAACTAATTCTATTGTTCCGAACAAAGTGAATAATTGAATCCCCTTTGGAAGTTGTGCTCTAAAATATCAGACCTCGCTCAGGCCGGTCTTGATATTTTACGAGATCATTGTCTCAATGATATATTACAGCACAACACGTGAGTTGAACAAATCCATGCATGGCATCTAGAATTTATCATGATTTTAATGTTCGGCTAGAGTAGTATTAAATTCCACTTTTTCTTGTTTTGTTTTTTTAGCTTCGCTGTCAACTGTTGGACCAGAAATGTCAGCAGTAAAAGTTTTAAAATAAACACGTTAAAGTAAATGGTAGATCAATTCATGTGCTAAAGACTAATTGAGTTAGTTCTGAAATGGCAAAATCACTTTCTTGTTGGCTTTTCTGTTTCGCATATTATTCTGTTTTAATGCGCTTTTAGTTGACTAGAATGAAATAACAATTATGAATGCTAATTACATTGAGCTAACAAAAGACGATTTTATTGGAGTCGTGCGCCTGGTAACGAGAGCGCGGTACGAAAAAATGCAAGTTTTTCAAATCAGACTCTCTGTAAACGGGAGTTCTTTTTTTGTTTAATTCAAAGCATGCTCATTTAAACCTCTGCTGATTCAGGTGTCCCTTACCCTGGCTTTCAATGAAATTTCATTGCTATTCTCCTTTGCTGTATTACAAGTTGTAGCCTTTTTCCGTGCCGATTAACAAATTGCCAATTTTAAAATTATTTTTTCTTATTTCCATGGGAAAAACCGTTTTCTTAAGACTCATTTCATCTGCCTAAGATTAGAACTAATCCCTTATTTTCTCCCATTCAGTATACTTTCAGCTCATAAGGACATCAATTGGTGTCATTGTTATGAACACACAGAGTAGAAAAATGGAGTCCTTTTTTTCTCTTTTACGGGAAGTGGCCACCTTTATGTCCGCGAAAGACTTAATACACTTGGAAATACGAAATACTATTAAACTAATAGAAACGTCTCTTTGAGTTAAAGTTTTACGACCAGCACCTCTATATAAACCGGACTAATCTTGGTTTCCTTTACGGATGGACTTTTAAGTTGCGCTAAGAGTGTCTCGTCGCCAAAAGGGCTCCTCAAAGTGGGATGAGTGGTCATTTTCCACGGAAATCGCTTTTTGTTTGTTAAAAAGTCATTCGTCATTAACCCCACGTGCAGTCTGTTCCTCGTGATCCAGATAATGGCGGTAAAAATTCCCATTGATCATGCAGTGTTTCCATCGATTGTGGTCAACAGTCGACACGGCTTCGGGAAATAATACACCCAAACAATTGAATCCTCTCATTTTCCAAAGGGTTTCAAATGATTATGCAAAAGCCCTTTTATGAGGACATGTGGCTCATTGAGAACATGTTTATTAAATGAAGCCTTGCTCACCCATATGATTGTCTTTTCCTAGGAAAAGTAGCCCCGAGGACTGCTTTTCATTCTGCATCTGGGTTTTGCATGTGTGGTCTGAGCATATGCTTATCTCGCCCTATCATCGCCAACACCCAAAGCTTTTCTGAAAGACGTTTGGCACATCGGTGAAATAGAATTATCTCTCTTTTTTCATAAATGATTGTTTATTGTTATGCAGTCGTAATCAGGCGATGCAGATGTGTTCGAATATTAAATCTTATGAGGAAATTCAACCCACTCTTGAGAACGGATCACTCCTTACCCCATCCCAAACTGGAATAAGACCTTCTTCTTGAGCTCCATAAAACGGTACTCAAGATTTCTAACACCCGAGGATCAACCATGAGCCATTACCCACGACAAGGCATCCCCAAGAGCGTGTTATTATTTTCTTTCAAAATTCTACATTGTCATTTCACGAATTGAGCCAAAGTACTCTTTGATCATACAATTGTTCTGTGCAGCTCTCCCTTACGGCTTCTGTAAATATTTGTCTAGCATAGGTATTGTTTGTCACAGCCTACCACTGTTCTACAACAGTTTAGACAGTAGACCCTCCTGGTGCCAGCAGTTCGCTTGTATATGTAGCACTTTAGAAACAGCAAGAAATTACAACGGGCGAGGTTTTATCTTTTTAATTGGTGTGGAATATATAAAGAAATTAAAAAAACGAAAGCCGACGTTTTCAAGGCACGTCGTCTCTTAGCAAGCCGGGTGTCCATTATATTCGAGTTACGTTTTTATGCTTGTTGAATCCTCGTATTTTTCAAAAAGCAGTTACGTTGTATGTGACGAAGGGTTTGAGTCACTTCAGTCGACACTTATCTTCTGAAAATGAACTGAATCTTTTGCCTTTCTTCTTTGAGCATGCGCATTATGATTCCTATTCTTTGAGGCTTGAGCTCCAAACGTAATAACACCGGGTCTATCTCAACGGGCAAAAAATATGGTTTTGTGATGAAATTTAATATATCCTTTGTTCAACAATTTCTTCTCTAAAACGGACGTTTTCTAGGAAAGGTTAAATTTCAAATCGCGTTGAAATCATTTTTTAATAAGTCGAAAAAGACATTCAAACAAAACTCACTCCTCGTATAAAATTCCCGCTTATTTTTCACTTGGGCAGAACTTCTTTCATTTGATAACCCTTGAGCTATTTAAAGCAGATTTTCGAACAAGCCCGAAATGTTCCTCTTCACTTAATTAAACTGATTTTGACTAATTAACAACAAAAATTGCTAATTCATTGACTTGTGTTCGCCGTTGATCTGATAAGGGGGGATAAACAGTTCATAATTCAGACAAAACTATAATGACTGGTTCCTCGTATATGTTGTATAATACAAGTACCTCGTTTACTTTGTATAATACACTGTTTGGCACTTCGGTTCACGCCCCTTATGTCGATAATGGCTTGATATTCACCCGGGTAGGCGATATCTTAAGGTATTGTTTTCGCGGGCTTTAAAAGAGCAGAGCTTATCGTATTAAGGTTCATTCATTGCAGAGCCTAGCCGGGAGTTTTTCACGAGACCAGCGAATACATCACGATTTGACGAGTCAAAGCGTAAGAGATATTTTATTTTCCAATTTCTTCTAATTGTAAATCGATTATTAACTTATTAACGAGATTTAAGTTTGATTGAAATTAGAGTTCTTTACCGAATCTTAATTTTTAACAAGAAGGGTTATTTTTTTTAGCACCATTTCGTACCTCTCTCCTCATCCGATCGCTTTTTCACCGTCAAGAAGAAATGTCTTCTCAGGAGGAACGATAGCTTCTAAATAATTAAAATTTCCCGCTTTGGAAATAGCGATAACGTAAAAGGGAAACATGAAAACAGGTTGGTTGAGTTTTTCCGCGTCCTCGTTCATAAATTGGTTACCCACGCTAAATTTGAAACCAATCTAGACGGCCTGTCGGCTCCAATTGTCCTTTTATTTACCCAAAACAAATCGGAGAGTCGGTAATCGGAAACTAGGTAAATTTTTCCCAGTGTTATTTTAGAATTAATCACTTTGCAGTTTTGCATTACTTCGTTGAATAATTATGATCGTGATTTGTGATTGATTTCTTCGATCAAGGAAACAATTTATAGAATTAATACGATTGTAAAATATACTGAAAGATTAGATCAGCCAATGTGGTGGATTCAGGCACTGCTCATTTATATGATTTAACTCCAAAAGCGTTCCGATCAATAATTAAAAAAAGAAATACGCCGATAAAGACATAAAAACCACGGGAAAATAAAAAAAGAAACCCTAAAAGTGTTTTAATGTTTTTGTAGATAAGGCATCACTTTTTCTTTTTACAACGTTTTATTAATAATTTAGAACAAGATTTGGGTTTAATATTTTATGAATTTCTCACACACGTATTGAGTTTCAAAACAGTGCGTGTGCTCTTTATCGCCAATTTAACTAACCCGACTTGGAAAAACCTACCGCTAATATTGGTTCAGGCTCGTTAGCCAGTTCTTACGTTTAGAGAACCCAAAATAAATTCCTTTAGTTGTCAGTATTATCTATATGTTTTTTTTCTTCTCCCAAAACGGTCCAAAACTATAAAACTGCACGAACTTTAAAGTCACAGTAATCACACAATGTTAGAACTGTTTTGTTTTTTGTTATTAAACTATTATTTTTTCAGAATCTTATTAGAGTTATACTGACTTGCCTTTTAACAAATCCAAACTGACTTCTGCTTTGTTAATGATGAACAAACAATGATCTGGGATGAAAGACACCCTTGACGTTTTAAAATATTCATGCTGTCGGCAGTGATCTTTTCTTTTTCAGTCGTACACCTATTATATTTTATAAACCCTTCTCGGTAATTCTGTCTTTTTAAAAACAATGTCATGACAATAAGACCAAAATAATGTCCATGTAACCTTATTTGTTTTGGTTTGAAGTAATTATTTCGTTGCTCTTTGCGTTTCCTTCTTTTCTTTTCTTTTTTTTTTCCGAGTTTTTAGTTCCTTTAGCAGATCTCTTTGCTTCCTTCAAGAAGTTATCCTTTATCTATTTCTTTGTTTCGCTTTGAAACGCACCGATTTTCGTTAGCTTTGTGTTACATGCCTGTGTACAGGTTCTTTTTTAATAAATAATCAAAGCTGTTAATGCATTGAAGTATTTTGATTTAACAAAGCGTGGTCAACAAAACCAGCAGTGACATTATCGAGATTTGTAATTACTTTTTAAACCGCAATCTAAAGAAATAATCGGACAAGTACTCGTATAATCATATTATTTTCCAACTACACAAAAAGAGTTCAGATTGTCATGAATGAGCACTGTTTAAATTGTCATGCTCATATGAAGTTCATTTATTTTTAGGACGAGTTTTCTCAACAACCTACAATGGTTAGCCAAGTTGTATTTCGCCCACCAGAACAAGAGCAAGTACTCAACAGCACTGTCTACGCAGAGGAAAGATGTTACCCTTGGATGTTTCGCGAACAAGCCTCTAAGAAACCCGAAGAAAGCCGAAAACACGTAGGAAGAAGACCGAAAGTGACCGTCCCGGCAACCGTGAAGCGATATCGGCAGCTTCGGAGAAACGCAAGAGAACGGGAAAGACAGGGTCGCCTAAACAGTGCGTTTGACGTGCTTCGCAGCGTTATTCCCGATTATTTATCAGGCAAAGGACCCGAGGGGAAACTAACGCAGATTGAAACATTAAGACTGGCAACACATTACATCGGCGCTCTTTCGGAAATGCTCGATGACGAAGACACAAAGCGAACATTTAACGATTTCTGCGGCTGTGGGTATTTTAGAGAGAACGAGAGCTTCTCTTTCAATGATTTGAGCTGTTTGACGAACATTTAACCTATAATTTTTTCTCGGATTTAGAATGTTACAAAAATGTCGTTAAAACTTGAAGTGGATGCACTGACTTCGTTGTTGGGCCAAATGGCGCATTATGGTAATAAAAAAAACAAAGTTGAAGTAAAAATCCAGCATTGTATATAAAATGAAAATATTTTTATTATAAAAACTTTACTTGATGTAGTTAAATAATAAACATTCATCTACTACTTTAAAAACCATGAAAAGTCGCTTTTTTGTCTTACGACTTGGTTAATTTTAATTCGTTTCATTTTCCAAAATAAGGTGGTCATATCATGGGCATTTTTGTGGAGATGTGAAACTTCTGTCTTGTGTGGTTGCATTGATTTTACCATGTTATCATTACTTAATTTAGTTACGTGATTGTCTTAAGTCTTCGTTTGCGTGCCCCTTTTCATGTGTTTGAGTCAGTACTGATCACTATCATAGTAAATTTGCAGTTAATGGTTCTCAATTGCCACTCATGTTCTTAATAAAAGTACGTGGGTGAAGGCCCTGTGTGCACGAGACGCACGTTTACCTTTGTACGTTTGTATTCAGTAACAGTGAGAAAATCGTCGTGGTAAACCTTTCGTGTACTGAAAGGTGGTAAACGTGGGCGACCAACTCCGTCATACATGAAGAAATAAATATGCGAAACCAAACGATTAACGCTTTGCGGTCACTTTGCCTCCTGCAGGGACCGCGCAGCAAGTTTTCGAGTGGGGGGGCTAAAGAAGAATGCGTAAAGGAAAATTTGGGGGGGGGGGGGGGGGGGGTTGGGGGG